GTTATTACTGTATCATGTTCTTTTCCTTCTTTTTCTTTTTTTTTTTCTTTCTTTTTTACTTGTCATTACTGCCTATCTTCTCCAGTTCGTTGTATTTAATACTTCTCCCACTTCTCAAGTGAGGTCTTTATTGAAGAAGTAAAACAAAAAATGAAGAAAAAAAAATGGAAAAGAAAAGGAGAAAAGCCAACTTCTTTCTTGTTATTTTACCACTTATCCAATTTCAACCGACACTTGTTTTACTGTTACTATTGGCTTTCAAATAATCAGGATACCTCAATTGCCACAGATGGCATACCATCATCAGGCATGACGATCCCTCCGCAACGGCGGATGGAACTGTTAGGTCTACAACCAACCGGTGGAGATTCAGAAGACGAAATGTCTGAATCAATCTCTGAATTACCGTCTTTTGGTGGACAAAAGGCGCCCCGAAAACGATTGTTGCAAAAGCCTGAGGTTTTTCAATTATTCTTTTTTATTCGCTTTTTTGCTATCTCACATTTTATTACATTTGCTCAGCTTTTTCTTTTTTCTAATTTATTTGCATTTTTTTTTTCTTTTTTTTTTTTTGCTTTTACAAAACCCTCTTTTTTTGCGGTTTACATTTTGTAATATACGTTACCGGTAATAATTAATGTAATCTCTGCAAAATTTTCTTAATTATTTTTTTAGAGACTAGCCTACTTTAGATGCTACCGATTAGGCTATAATAATGATCGTAGCAGTGTGTTCTTTTTTTGTATTATTACAGTGTAGTAAAACGCTTTAGCAGAGCTTATTTATAGAGTTTTGAAGTATCAGGATAATTATAAACGTTACGCTTCAGTGGGCTTACACAGACATTATCAATGACTTTTTTTAAGCTTAACGATACTTATGCTACAGCTAGCTATTTTGCAAGTTTATTTAATTTTTTTCTTTTTTCAGCTTAGGATTAGAGCTATAACACAAAGTAATGTCGGTTTTTTTTGTTGTCGTATGTATATGTTGACATGATGCCTTGATATCCTCCTCATGTAACTATCATCATCAGCAGCAACCTCAGCATACATCTCAAGTTTTTCGAGTTCTTTTTCTATCTTATCGAGTTCTTGTCCTGTTCCATTAGTGTTGTTGATCGGTTGTGATCGTCGATTAGGTGAATAACAGAAGAAAGTCTTATCATTCTTATCGTCTTCTAATCTTGTTATTATTCGTCAATTAACGGCTTTTTTGTGTGCTCATTATCTAAATAATATTACAGTTGGTGAAAGAGGCCTACTTATTTTTTTATCATTATTTTGGTTAATATTACTTCTTCTTATTATTCTTCTATTTTTCAAAATGTCGCTTTCCTAACAGATATTGGCCAGTGTTTCAGCAGTTAATTTAGCTGGGGTAAAACTATTCAAAAGTTCGCTTATTACGAATTAGAACAGCAAATGTTAAAAACGATTCTTCAAGTCTTGGGAACTAGCATGAGTTATATGAATTTATCGATCTACTGTTTGATGGTTTATAAATATAAAGTAAACTAATAGGAGAGGTGCGACAAAGAAGTTATTTGAGATGTTGAAGTGGAGCTGCACTGTTTAAGCCATTTATCTAAAGTTCAATAACATTTTTGTTGAGATAATTTTTAAGAAGTACTCGTGGATCTGTTTTTTTAGCGATCATTGCTAATCATCATCATCATCGTCATCACCACCATTAGCATTAAGTTTGCAACTGAAAGAAAGTAAGAAAATGAAGTGAATTTAAAAAAATTTAAAACGAACAATAACTTTAAAAAATTGCGGAAGTTTTGATTAACCTTTCAGCACCAAATTTTTTCATTAAGCTTTTTCTTTTTGCTGCTAATTGAAGCTTAAAAAAAGTCAAATTTGTTCACCTTTTTTTCGTTTTGATTATAGTTTAACTTTATTGAAACGAAAAAAATGAACGTGGTTTAGAGAGTACTGGCAGCAACAATAGTATTAAAAAGAAAAAAGAAAAAATAACTCAAATATTTCAAGTTATTCAAGTTATTTAAGTAATTTTCGTTTGTTGCAGTTTTTTTGTTTCTCTTTCTTTTTTTGCTTAAAGATCTCGGTCTGTCATAAACAAGGATCAAATCAAAATACTTTAAATTGATAAGTGTTTGTTAAGGTTTTTTTGAAAAAAAAAATGACGATAGATTTTTCCTTCATTCTCTTCTATTCTTTGTTGTGTTCTTTTTTGATTAGCGGTGGAAGAGAAGTTTTTTTTTTATTTTGAAACAAACCATGTTAAAATTTAGCCTACAAATTTTTTCAGCGTTTTCTTTCTATTTTGTTATGTTAACAGAAATTGTAAAAGATAGTTGCCGTAATAGCGAATTTTTTTACGTCTAACCATACTTCCAAATAATGTTGATTAACCTACTCATGGTTTCTCTTTGCCGAGCGGTTTCCGTCGAAGGATATATGGCAGTTTTTCTTTGATTTTTTTGCTTTTCCCTTGTCAATTTGGATAGTAAGTTTTATGATGAAAAATTATTGCTCTTTGGTATACACATACACATATGCACAAACGCACACAAAAAGTTGTCGGGTTCAGGACCTACTTACAACTGTTCGGTGGGAATTTGATTGGTCTGATCTCGTGGTTGCTTTTAAAATGAAAAACTTCTTGAAATTGGCTTCGGAAACCAGTCAATAAAAGAGACGACAAGTGTTTTCTTCTTATCCTTCAGCATACCTTCTATCTCTGCTTGCTTACCTGTTTGCTAGCTTGCTCGGTGGATTGTTTGCTTGCCTGCCTGTTCGCCTGGTCGTTTGCCTGATTACTACACGCAGTTTTCATTATCTTTTATTCACACAGTTTCATGTGCCACTCCTCTTTTAGCCGTCAACAGCAAACAAGGGGGCTTCATCTCGTAAGCCGACGTCCTCAAAAAATGAAGAAAAAGAGGTAGCATCACCCTTCAACGTGATGGCAAGTCTTCTAAAGAGTATTCTTTTATCAATCTTGCATGTTTACCAGATCGATGATTTTCGCCAATTGCATTTGCGCCCCGTTTTTTCCAAGCATCCAAGTTTTCTTATCCCATTGCATACATGCTTCTACAGTCTACAAACCAAAAAAATAAAAGAAGAAGGAATTTTTGTTAATTGTATTTTCTGCAGCCAAAGACATTTGGAAAGAAAAGAAACTTAAACTAAGTGCAGAAACATTTGATAGATCTCTTTCTGAAAACGATAATAAAGTATTTCTCAACTTTTTTGTTAGTTGTTTGTCATATCATTAAAAGGCAAAATTCAAAATGAAACAGAAACTGACAAAAAGACAAATGTACTAATCTGATTTGTTACGCAAGTAATTTTATACTCGTTAACGTTTCATATTTTGGTTATTGTTATCTTTGTTATTTTTGTTGCTGTAGTTGTTGTTGTTGCTAAATGTATCTTTCATGTTGTTTAGCTGAAACGAACACCAAAGAAGGCAAAAGAAGAAAAGCCTGAAGCAGAAAAAGTTAAATTAAAAAGTCTCGAGCAAAATCAAGCTGTTGAAAAAAAGGCTGGAACTACCAACAGACGAACGTCTGGTGGAACTTCCAAAGATGAAGGAAGAGTTAAACGACTCAATAGCCAGACAACAATTGAGTCAACAGAGAATGGCAGCACGTCTCGAAACGTATCATTGCATGTTCTATTAAACAAAATAAAAAATGAAAAAGAGAAAATAATTAAAAGAAGAAATTTTTTG